GATTAGGAGGGAAAAAAAAAAAAAAAAAAAAAAAATATATATACCTGTATATATGAATGGGGGAATGGAGGAGAGTGAATTTAAAATTCATGCCAACTTGATTGTAACAAACTCTAGCATTTTTAGGGATAAGGAAAGGTCAAATAACCTCAAACAGGCAAGTTACTTTAAAAGCAAATACTTCCTGGCTGAATGTTTTTTTCCCTATATTCCATATACAGTTGCTATGAACTCATAAAACACTAAAGATGAGTTTGCAGAATTTAAAAAAATGTATTTTTAGAAATATTTTTTGTCATTATGTCCTATTTTCTGATATTTTCTTTTCTTTCCTTTTTTTTAATAAAGCAGGAATTCAAAAAAACTGTCAGGCAAACCCCTTTGACCTAAAATATTTAATCAAAGTATCCCCTGATATTTCATCATTTAGTAATGTTGTATAATGGTTATATGACATGCAGTTTTTTTTAAATTCAGTGTTTTATTATAATTTGTTTTTATTTTAAAACTATTCATTTTAATTGTATATTTTTATTATTTTAAATAATTATTTATTTAATCAACTCACAGTCAACCCTGCCGTAGCTCACCCAAAAATTAAATTTTCATGCAACTCAGCTGCATAATTGTTAAAAAAATTCTCATTTTGTATTCCATTGGAAAACTATGAGATTAAATCAATAATGAGTTTTTCTTATTTTCAGGGCTCCTAAAAAAAAGCAATTACATTTCATGTAAATGAGAAAATGATGAAGAAAGTATTTCAAAAATGCAAAATAATTATATTTTTTTCAGCAAAATCATCTTTTGATATATAAAATAATATAAAAAAAATAATAAAATCTTCCCAGAGCAACTGTATATGGAATATAGGGAACATTTAACCAGAAAATATTGGTTTATAAAGTAACCAACCTTAAGTTCTATTTATTCTATGAATTCATGCATTCGCCAGACCTATTTATCTGAAGTGATTTACACTGCATGCATTTCCAGCGAATCAAAGCCATGACCTTGTCGTCATTAGTGTTTGAGTAACAGAAATGTGCTTCTTTCACCCGCAGGTCACGAGGGCGACCCTTGCCTGCGATCGTCCGATTGCTCGGAGGGCTACTGCTGCGCTCGCCACTTCTGGACGAAAATCTGCAAGCCTGTACTGCGGCAGGGCGAAGTCTGCACCAAGCAGCGCAAGAAAGGCTCCCACAGCCTGGAGATCTTTCAGCGCTGTGACTGTGCCAAAGGACTTGCCTGCAAGGTATGGAAAGATGCCACCTCCTTCTCCAGGTCCAGGCTGCACGTGTGCCAGGGGATCTGAGACGGGACGCCCCTGCAAAACAAGCCGCACCTTGGGGCCCCTGCGTCCCGCCGGGGGAGGAGTGGGCAACGACTCCTTTCTCCAGGACTTACTCAGCTGTGATAAAGAGAGAAAGGGTGAGATACAGATGAATGTGTGCCAGAACAGGGTGGGTTTGGGATAGGAATGAACCGATATGGTGGGATGCTCAGCTGTAGCTGTTAAGGAAGCACTCTGGGCCTCGTTTCAAGTTTTTTTGATCTACAAGCCATATTTCGCGTTTGATGCAAGCACTGCCATTATTTCAGTATGTCCGTGCTGTCAGTTTAGTATCTTGTGATGCTGAATGCTCTGATTTGGTTTCTATTTTTCACTATATATTTCATGCACATATGAGTTTTTCACTGCATAACCACTAAAATATTAACTCGTTTTTTTTTTGGTTACATTATCATCGACTTTGGGTCTCGTTCATTAAAAATTGTGGAAAGCAGCAATTTTAATTTTTCGTTTACTTTTTTTTGTTCTTCTAAATTTCAGACTGCTCTTCTGAAAGTGCACTTTGAGTTTGCTTGTATTAAAAAAACAAAAAAGATCCTATGTGTACATAACACCAAAACAGAAGAACAGGTGTATGTTTTCAAGGTAGCCTCACTAGTAATGCATTTGTCTGAGAAATATGATCGTTAGTTCAGATTTATTCAATAGATAACATTTTTATTATGTCAGAAATGCTAAATTGGTTCTGACTATCAAGGGAAGTTGTTTACAGTGCTGTTCAGTGAATGTGCAGATGCTTTATAACATTATGAATCATAGGCTGTGCTTTTATGTAAAATTCCACATCATCTTTTAGCTAGAATAATAATAATAATAAACCAATAAGCTCTTATATTGTAAATAAAATGCTAAATTTTCCAAATGTATTTAAGAAGCAGTTGTATATCATGTATATATTGGTAAAAAGGAACAGATGGGGACATGAATAAAGTAGCATAAAGACGTTAAACACTTTTTTTTATTTTACTTTCAGCTTATTGTGTGTCATAGCATGGTGTGGTTCCATTTTCCTCAAGCTCTGTTTTTACACCGCTGATATGAAAATCCCGACGCAGAACTCTTTCTATTAAATTATTTGCAAAACACATTTCTTCTTTGCAGAGCTCATGCTGTGTATTTGTTTAATGTCTGATTTCCTGGGTTAGTCCTTACTTTGTTCCTGTTGTAACAGTGCTGTTATGTCTCGTTGTGTATTTACAGTGATTTAAACAGATTAAAGAATGTATTTTGTATTACAAGCATTTGGCTGCTCTCATATTTTCAGCTCTGAATCGAACAGCTTCAGTGTTTTACCATCTAAAAAAACGTTTATGAAGCCGTCAGCATTCAGTGAATGAGTCGCGGTGCTTTTATATGTTCTGTATTTCTGTGATTCTATCTGTGATGACATTTATGAGATAATACACTGAGCATAAGCAACTAACATGCATTTTCCCTTTCTTCTCAATGGCCGTTTCACGATAGCTTAATGGCCGTAAGTCTAACATATCAATAACACACGGAAACTGGGCCTTTGTGTTTCTGGCAGACAGGTTACGAGTAGACGGAAGAATATAAAATGTCTAAGGCCGTTAACATGACAAAGCCCTAACAAAGCTAGAGCGGCCCATAAAATCTTCTTGGACCACGGAAACAGCTTAATGTAATCTCCAACTTTAATATGATGTTGACTTTTGGGAGCAAAGAAAAACTTACTAAAAATGAGTATTTGTTTGGTTTATTTATTATTCTTACATCATCAGATCCAGTGTAGGGGAAAGTTACTTTTAAAAGTAATGCATTACAATATTGCGCTACTCCAAATGTGTTACTAAGTTACTTTTATGGAAAGTAATGCATTACGTTACTTTTGCATTACTTTTTGTACTTTTAGGCTTGTTTTTTAATAACAAACCTCCCAAAAGCTATATGTGACCCTGGACCTCAAAACCAGTCATAAGGGTCAGTTTTTGGAAATTGAGATTTATACATCCATTGATGTGTGGTTTGTTATGATAGGACAATATTTGGCCGAGATACAACTATTTGAAAATCTGGAATCTGAGGGTGCAAAAAAATCAAAATATTGAGAAAATCACCTTTAAAGTTGTCCAAATGAAGCTCTTAGCAATGCATATTACCAATCAAAAATTAAGTTTTGATATATTTATGGTAAGAAATTTACAAAATATTTTCATGGAACATGATCTTTAATTAATATCCTAATGATTTTTGGCATAAAAGAAAAATCGATAATTTTGACCCATACAATGTATTTTTAGCTATTGCTACAAATATACCCCAGCGACTTAAGACTGGTTTTGTGCTCCAGGGTCACATTTTTTTGGCAGCTGTAAGGGCCCTCTCACACCCAATGTGAATTTAATAAGCCTCAGCCTGAATGAAGTTCCTCTGCAACTGCACTTACTCCCGATTTCTTTCAACACGGGAACAAAAGAGGTGTCAGTGAATAAATGGGAAAACAGAGTAACTTGTATTACTTATTTGAAAAGGTAAATCAGATATTTAGTTGTAAATTAAAATGTAATGCATTACTTTACTAGTTACTTGAAAGAAATAATCTGATTACGTAACTTGCACTACTTGTAATTCGTTACTCCCAACACGAACTGTAAATCACAGTCTTCATAAAGTAAACGGCATGGCATGAATCATGCTATTGTATATGTATAAAGGTTAATTTCACCAAATCAAAGGTTTAAATGGGAATATTTCATTCAATCATATATTTTGGTCAAAATTCCTACTCTTTTGCAATTTTTTCCCCCCAAAATGTTCAGTAACAGCTTTCTTCCCTTCAGAAAGCATGCGTGTGCAACCATGTCATTTGTTAAATTCAAAGGGCCAGGAATTTCTTTTAAATTATAGTGAAATTGTGTTTTTATGGACAAAAAGGATTTGAATATGATAAAAAGGAAAACTGGAAGAAATGCTAGTCTTTAGACTGCTAACAGATTTGCATGTGGCAGCTCTACAAACATTGAGCTTTACTTCTTTCATCAGCTCAACGATTTGATTGCTTTCAGTGTTGAAATCGCAGGGACTTTCCACATTCATTCCTTAAAGGGGTTATATAATGCTACTTGCACTTTTACAAGTTGTTTGAACTGAAATGTGTGTTGGCAGTGTGTGTACACAACCACCCTATAATGATTAAAATCCACCCAGTGGTTTTTTGTTAATCTACTAAAATCTTTACCCCTTTCTCAAATCGAGGCTATCTCAGATGCCTGTCTGTGTGACGTCACACAGACAGGCCCCTCCCATGATAGTTTGATTGACAGTAGCGTTTTAGCACAGCCTGGACTGGTGTCTTACCTTAGACCCGCCCTGAGTGAGCTGTCATCAGTCCGCCATTGTTTCATCGCTGGAGCAGATGTAGACAAGAATGACTCCTAAGCGATTGAGGTGTTCTGTTGTTGGATGTAATAATGAACATAGCAGTCGTCATTTACTCCCGACATCTGAGCCGCTGAAGACGCAGTGGATTATGTTTGTTTCTGAAGGGAATGCGCCCCCGATCTACATAAATGCGTCTATGTTCGCGCGAATCATTCATGATCCAGCCTCATCTACAGAAGAAGTGAGTGTAAGGTTTTTAACGAATCTTTGCAAATCGCCTTTCCTAATAATGTGCTAATTAGCAAGTTTCACGATGAATGCGGCTAAAGTAAACAGTCTCTCTGAGAGCAGCTCGGAAGAGAGGGGCGGGGTCAGCAGAGCTCATTAACATTTAAAAGAAAATGCTACAAAACGGCTTGATCTGAAAAGAGCTGTTTTTGACAGGGTAAAAAAGGTGTTTTTTTACACTACCATTGAGAAATTTTAACCAAACTATGTTACAGACTTTTCATTAAGACCCTAAAGAATCATATCAACTTGTCGAAAATGGGCATCCTATGACCCCTTTAAAAACACCTTGAGAGATCAGCAAATTGTCATAAAAAACAATTGGTCATAGTGATCTAGGTCTAGTGAAAATCATTCTGAGCGGTTTATTTGTTACGGACTGTTAAAGGAACTAGCGCCTGATGTTGCAGCCTATAATAAATCATTTTCTAAATTTTTCTGGACCGTCTACAGGCACAACCTGTAATAATTATGAAATACAAGCTTTTCAGCTCATGGTCAACCATGCTGTCCAGGCGTTTATATTATGTTTCACATGTGTTTTTCATTCTTAATAATGACATGTGTCTTTAGCATTGGGTTGGCTTTTGGGACCAAGGTAAGCATTGTTCTTTGCTGCAGAAATCTATCAGTTCAGATTCACAAAATGACAAGCAAGGCAGAAATTCTCTGAAAAATCCCTTGATGGTCATTGAACCTCAAATCCCAGTTGAAATATGACGCTGACCGAAGCTCTTTTCTGAACACCAAAGCTGAAGAGAATAAGAAGTTAGTAACAGTCGGCCACCCACCAGCACAGAGCAGCAACCGTAATCTGCTAATTGGTTCAAAGTGATGTCTGTGGCCCAAAGCGGCTCTCTCCTCTGAGACAAATGTGTCATCGTAATTCAACACAGTTGTTAGCGTTGGCCCTCCGTGTGACTGTGCATGTGCCAGCAGGCTTTGGTGTCGTGTTGATGGATGGAGGGCCCTGGTGGTGTGCCCGAGGTAGCATGTGGCACACTTTCCTGGACATCAGATGTGGAAGAATGAAAGTCAAGGCCACACAGACACAGGGGTGACAAATGAGACCCCACCTAGCACTGGGAAAACTCACTTTTTTGTGTGTCAGCTGTGCCTTTTGACTTTTTTTTCTCAGATATATTAAAAGAAAATCCTTTTTGGCCCTTTGGGGAATTTTGCAAGCTGGGTTTGAACAAATATTGTATTTATGAAAGTTGCAGCGCAGTGTGTTGGAGCATATTTCAGACATATTACATTTTTTTTCATCTCCATAAACTCTAAAGTATTGGATTTTTATTTTTTACACTGAGTCGACTAACATCTGTGGCTAGAAGTTACGCAGTAAGAAAAAACTAAGAAAAATGAATAATGACCTGGCAGAAAAGTTTCTGCACATTTCTTCCAATCCTCAAACACAACACAATGCAATGCATAAATCAAAATGTAGGTAAAACACCTGTGAAAAATCAATGCGGAAAATTCCTCACAATGAGCCGTATTTGTTTTAGCTTTCTAAAAAGTGTGATATATTCAAGATGCATTTTAAGTGACTTTGACGAAGAAATTATGCTTGTGAAATATTTTTATGGCCAAAATATAATTGAAATATATGCTAAATATATCTTGTAAACAGCACAGCTAAACAAAACATATCTGTTTAAACCTTCAAATAGTGAAATGTGACAAAATGTACTTATAATAGTGCAGTAAGAAAAAATATATTTTCCAATCTTTGTGGTAAAAATGGTAAAGACAAACTATATTTTAACATCTAAGCAATATATTTATGGCCATTATTGTATATTTTGAATAATATATATATATATATATATATATATACATACACTGTGTATATATATAATTTTATATAAGAGAGAGAGAGAGAGAGATAGATAGATAGATAGACTGATTTGTCACAGGTGAAATTCACAATGACCTTGTTAAAACTGGAATTCTATTTGCCTGAGTTTCATCTAAGACTCAAAGTTTCCATTACACTTTTCTCTTTCTACTCTTGACATAAGCCATTTTTCTAAAAGATTTTTAAATCATTTCAATCAGGCCAAACCTACCACACACACCAAGGCCAAGAATCGGGTCATAATTGTCTTAGAGTTTATCCAAACACACTGGCTGCAATATACCAGTCCCTTATTTCTGGAGCTGGATCGCTCCTCATTACTCCACACTGAGCAGAAACTGCCAGACAGGAATTCCAATTAGTCATGTACCTGTCATAACCATGGGCCAGCTGTGTGTTTTTTTAATTATAAGACAAAAATTGGGAGGAATTAAGAGACAATCTGTCATTATTGGATTAACCAAATCAACAATTTTGCTGTATCCAAACCAGCACATTTCTCACAAAGTGAATATTCAAAGCTCTGACTGCATGCTTTTAAAGCAATCACAACAAACAAGATTGAATGATATTATCTTAATATGATTTGATGTCAGCGATGCTATCTCAATTTACGTTTGCACAAGATCACAATGAAAGGAAACATTGCATATGTGGCTTTGATATGTCTAAACACAACTGATTCATTCTGACAGATCATGTTGTAAACAGCTAAAGAATGTCAT